TAGAAGCGGGTCATTGAAAACATTTAAGAGGCACCTAGATGGGTACATGAATAGGGAGGGAATAGAGGGATATGGATCGAAAAATGGCACATTTGTTTTAGATTAATTAGGGCATGATGGTCGGCACAAGCTTGGATGACCAAAGAGCCTGTTCCTATGCTGTACTTTTTCATTTGTTCATTTTCAATCATCACCTGAAGACTGAAGAAAGCCAGTTTATTTTTCCTGACCAGATGTTGTAAGCTGTTGCTTTTAATTAACAAGGCAAGAGACTTTATAATTTGTGAACCAATTGCTCTGTGCCTCAGTAAAGGAAATAAAAATATTTGGTGATGAGAAAGATCGATGAACGGCAAGCCCTTGCAAGCTAAAAAGACCATTGCAGTGAACCCTTTGCTCAGGGACCATAGAACTGGCTTCCCAGTTTTCTCCCTAAAACACTAATGCTATTTTTTGTTTAGAATGTTTAGAAGGGGGATAGAGTTTTAACTGGTGGAGTTATATATCAAAAGTTCATGGTTCTTGTAGTTATGATCTATTTATTTGTAATAAACAGTAACTCTTGTGGTTGGTTTTCTCACCGAACTGGTTTGTTAGTTCGCAGATGATTCATTACCCTGCTGGGTAACATCATCAATGAAGTGTTGTTGTGTTTTCCTACTTGTTATTTAAACTCTGGGGTCTGTTGGAGTTGGTTACCTCATTTCTGGTTTTTCTATGCAGTAGTGTGTATATAGGATCTAATTCTACGTGTTTATTCATGGCCTTCTTGGTGGAGAACCAAGCCTCTAGAAATTCCTGTGCTTGTCTCTGTTTGGCTAGTCCTAGGATCTTGATGTTGTCCCAATTGAACTGGTGGTTCTCCTTGTCTGTCTGTGGAGATGAATGAGTATTGGTCATGTTTTTTTGTTGCTCGTTGGTGTTCATGTATTCTTGTAGCCAGTTTTCTTCCTGTCTGCCCAATGTAATGTTTGTCGCAATCCTTGCATGGAACATACATTGGACAGACAGGAAGAAAACTGGCTACAAGAATACATGAACACCAACGAGCAACAAAAAGACATGACCAAATCAAAGTTTTTGGCTTTCAACATCAATTTCCATCTGTGACAGATAGAAATTGAGGAAAAGGGAAATCCTCAGGTGATATGGGAAAAGGACATCTCAATGAGGATAGTAAAAATAGTTTACCACATGGGTAAAATAAAAAAGCTCAGGTGTCTTCACTGTAATAAAATAGGCTACACATGTTGGTTGTTCAGAAAAAACACTGGGAAGACGGACGTGGGAAAACAGGATAAACCAATGAGTTTTATTAATGTAGTAAAGGAAAGCACAGTGGAAGCTAAAAAAACTGCAAAAGAATGTACAACCTGATCAGAGGTTGGTTGAGAGGAAATTGCCAGATGACTTTAAAGGATTTATTCACGTGGGTGTAGTTTACTCATGTATGCCAGGAGGAGCAGGTAAAGAGATTAAGATTTTAAGAGATCCGGGAGCAAATCAATCTTTGATGGTGAGAGATGAGGAGATATTTAATTCAGAAGGAGTATTTCCAAAAAGGTAGTGATGTATGGAATTCGTGGTGAGAAGAGCAGAGTTCCATTATGTAAAGTGAGGTTGGAGAGTCCGGTGAAAAGTGGTCAAGTGGTAGTAAGAGTAATAGATAAATTCTTGGTTCCAGAAATACAGTTTATCTTTTGTAATGATATAGCTGGAACACAAGTGGGAGTGACATCTACTGATACAGTGTTAGTATTACTTCCAGTGGTATGTGAACCTTCAAAGGCAAGATTTAGGGGGCCTTATCAAATCAAAAAGAAATTGAGTGAGGTGAATCTTAATAAGAATGCCAGATAGAAAGAAATCTCACAGAGTATGTCATGTGAATATGCTCAAAAAGATATTTTGATAGGGAAGGAAAGCAAAAGGAGGATGTGGTACTGGTTACAACATAGAGTGAAGAACCAAGTTCAGATGATTCTGAATTGGACATTCCTTAATTAAATGGGACAATGAGAAAGTTCTCAAAAATTAGGATAAATTATTGAGTTACCTTCCAGAGGAAAATCAAAATAACCTGAGTCATTACAACCACAGGGTACGATACATGGGAATAACCTGGGAAATACTAATCTACATTACACAGAGTGTAGATGTAGGTAATGTTATTACAATTAAATAATAGACATAACCCTCAAATTGGCACAGGTTCAAAAAGAGATTGAACGCATGCTTAAAGACAAAATAATCGAAGTAAGTTGCAGAGGATGGACCTCACCCATAGTAATGGTGCAAAACCAGATGCTACCCAACGTTTATGTGTGGGCTATTGCAAAGTCAATGCAATAACAAAACCTGATTCATATCCTATTCCATGTTTGGAAGACTATATTGTGAAGGAGGAACAAGCGACTTATATTTCTAAGTTAGACTTACTCAGAGGATACTGGCAGGTATCTTTATCCGAAAGAACAAACGTCATTTAAGCTTTTGTGACACCAAATGGACTATACCAGTTTAAAGTTATGCCATTTGGTACAAAAAAGGTGCCAGCCACATTTCAAAGAGTAACCAATAAAGTAATTTTGGGATTACCCAATTGTATGGTGTACATTGACAATCTGATGATTTTTAGTCACACGTGGAAGGAACATTTAGAGCACCCATGATCAACATTGGGAGGCAGGCTTGATGGTAAACTTACTAAGAGTGAGTTTGCAAAAGCCCAAGTCATGTTCCTGGACCATGTCATTGGACATGGAAAGATGGCTGCATGGGATCTGAAATAAAGGTTATTGGGGAGTTTACCATTAATGAAGAGGGAACTACTACGATTCCTGGGACTGAGTGGTTTTTTATGGAAGTTCCTATCAAATTCTAGCAGTGTGGTTGTTCCACTGACTGACTTATTGAAGTAGTGCAGAAAATTTCAATGGATGGAGGAACGTCAGGTGTTCGACAGCCTGAAAGCTGCATTAACCACTGCCCCAGTGTTAGCCACACCTAACTATACAAAGACATTCAAGGTGGCTATCGATACAAGTAGTGGGTGTTGGTGCTGTACTCTTACAAGAAGACAACGAGAAGATAGAAAGGCCTATTGGATATTTTGCCAGAGAAAATTGAATAATCATCAACACAAATATTCCATGAATGAGGAGACCTTGCACATGATGTTGTCATTGCAACATCTACATTGCCAATAATGTGCCTGAGATAATTATATATACTGATCATAACCTCTTAAAATGTTTGGAAATATTTAATGATAAAAATTCCAGACTTTTTAAAGATGAAACTTATTATTGCAGCCATTCAATTTGAAAATTATAAACATGGCAGGACAAGAGAACATAATTGCTGACATGTTGTCACAACTTTCATGAAGGAAGACAGAAGTGTTTGATGGTGGAAAAATGGACTGTAGTATTTAGTTTGCATGGTTAGAGTTAATGTAATATATATAATCTATTGTGGTGGACCAATAGCGTGAGACTAAAGGTTTTTAAAAATGAAGCCATTTTTGTATATTGATGGTTCTTTTTAAAAAGGGGAGGTGTGATGAAACTATGACTTTAAGAGGTGTATTTTTTCCTGTTTTTTTTTGAAGAGAGGTTTTAAGACAGAGCTGCTGAGTTGTCCAACACAGTAAACAGCGTGTGAGACCTTGGGCTCTTTTTTAAAAACATTGGAACAATAGAAGCAGCCTGAATGGTGGGATCAAGCTCCCCTAGAGCCAGGACTTTTACATTTAGTTTCAGTAGCAGTTGTGTTGGGGTCTTGAAGTTGTTTTTCCTCTCTCTGTTACAGCTAACAGCTGTGGGTTCTCTTCCTGCTGCTAAAATTGCATGAGACAATCTATTTTACTGAATTTGCCTTTGCCTAGAGTGTGTTTACAGGATGTTACTATATTGGAACAGTTACTGTTTAGTAGTTAAATAATCTATTATTCTGTTAAGTTTTCTAATAAACTTAAGTTATTCCAATTTCTTCTTTCCTTAGTTGTCTTTTAACTATAGTGTATGAATAAAGTGTATTTTGCTTCAAGACTGGTAGTTTGACCAATCAAATTGTATCTGGAAAGCATCACCTGGCACTTACCTTTAAAATAAGAAAGCATTTGGGTCTCGGCTATCTTAATAGATTTTGAGGGAATTTGGTCTGATCCATAACACTACCACTGCCGCACAACAGAAACAGTGTGTACCATCTCAGAGATGCACTGCAGAAATTCACCAAGGCTCCTTGGAAGCACTTTCCAAACTCATGACCACTACCATCAAGAAAGACAAGGGCAGCAGATACATGTGAATACAATCACTTGCAGGTTCTTGCCAAGCTACCCACCATCCTGTCATGGAATATATCACCATTTCTTCATTGTCACTGGGTCAAAAACCTGGAACTTCCTCCCCAACATCACAGCAAATAGACACAGCAATTTAAATCAGCAGATCACCCCCATCTTCTCGAAGGCAACTCGGGATAGGGAATAAATGTTGGCCCAGCCAGCAAAGTTAAATTTAAAAAGAACATGAGGATTAAATGGAATTTTCTGGTAAATGTAATTTTTCAAAGTTAGCTATTTAAAAATCATTCAAAATGTTGCTTCTCTTCAAATATTAATAGGTAACATTGGTAGCAAAAATACAGATTTAAGGACGAGGTATTATGAAAATTAACAACATAGTAAACCCAACAAGAGTTAGGTGTAGTTCTGATCTTTAAACAAAGGGTATCATTAGAAAATTAGGTCTACTTTACTATACAAAATTAAAAATAATCTTCACTACAAACCTCCCCAGCCTAGCAAAACATTTTAAGACATGTTTTCAGAGCACAAGATACTCACAAATAGTCGAGACTGAGACTGGATGTACAGCAGCAATTGACATTCCTAAAATCATGCCTAGAAATGAGGTTTTTAGAAACAGTTTTTATTTAACTCATTTCTCAATAAACAAACATTTCTGGAAGAAGGTACCATTTAATTGTCTTATTTAATTATTTCACAGATACATCTAAGTCAAGAATCAAACAATAAATTAATGTCCATAATGGATCAAATAATTTACATATGACATATTTACACCCTAAAACAGCAGTGCAAGTCAGTCGTTCAGTTAGAAATTTACTAATAAACAACACTATGTTTGACTGTATTGCCATTGTTGCTGATGAAACAATAGAACATGAATACAAGTTGGGTGATATTGAAAATAGAATTCCAACAAACTTTCAAATTTCTAATTTGATAATACAAACTCTACACTGCCAAATGAAATCTAAGCATTCCAGACATTGCATAAAAGCAGCAACAAGGTGAACTGTGATGGCATTTCAGTAGTGCTAAAGATGAATGCGGAGCAATTAAATGCAATCTTATCCGAACAAAGTTCTAAAGTTACCATTTCCGTTGTTTCAGTCATGTTGAAAAATGTATTTCAAAATATTAACCTGCTTGTACCAAAGATGGAACTTGTGCTTGTGTATGTCTTTCCATATTTGCACCACAAAAGAATCATGAAATTCAAATAATCTGCCAGTTCAAACATTTTTCCATCTTCTACACCAATCTCTTCCAAAGGCTTAAAACTGATTGTGAATCTTAGGCTGAAGTAAAATTTCAGTTGTTGATCTCACATTGGTGTATGTGAAATTGAAGTGTAGTTTATATTGCTAAAAATGTATCCCTGTGGGCTATTTTGAGATCAGTCACGAAGTAGTAGTAGGTATTTGTGCTTAGACAAATAGTGATGTTTTTGACTACCCATGTAGTTTTAAATGCTAATTATACTAGGTGGAAGGTATAATTCAGCAAATGTGTTTAGATCAGTACAGATTGGCATCTCAGTATGTTCCAGAGTCAGATCAAGATCTGATGCCAGAGTTGTATTACTACTGTTGCATCAATACACACCAAAAGTCATTTCACATCAACAGGAAAACAACATAACCCCACCCTTTGTGTTCTCATATGTCACAAGTATTGAGAAACTGTCATAAGTTTGCTTAAGTAGATCCATATTTAATTGGGAAGAATGGGCACCTGAATCATATGTCCAACTTCAGTAAATTCCTGCTGTTACCAGGATAATCTAAAAGCTAACATTCTACCAGAGTCCAAATCTTAGTATACATTCTGTAACCTGTCTAACAAAGCCATCCTAAATAACTGGTGCTATAATTCACAACTACTACCATCAGCAAATTTGAATACTACTTCACATAAGTGGCGCAAAGTTGAATTTAGTTTGCTTTATGATATTTCACTTAAATAAAGCCAATCTTTTATCTACATTACTAATCTGGGTGACCTATAGTTGACAAATTGTTAACAATAAATTACAGTACTTTTATTAATAATACCAGATAACGCAATCAGCACCGAGATGACCTTTATACATTGTGACGCTTGGTGCAGTAATCTGTCTTCATGCTGTAATAACAGTGTTCTGCTCAAGTGATCATCATAATAAGTGCTTTTTCATTCTTCACAACTCTTCTCAGAACCAGCTCCAACAGAACTATCATCTTCATATTTTCTCTCAGCGCTGTCTTCAGAGGATTTACTGCAATAGTCAAATGCTTTCCCACCAGATCCTAGACGAGTTCGGCAGCGTGCTCCAGGTTGATACAACTGCATAGCTGGACGGTCCTATACGATAAAAACCAGAAAAAGAGGTATAGTAAAAAAACCCATGTGGTAGTATTGAGATACATGTTTTATAAACACTGCATACTACATTTCTTTACAGTGTAAAGTAATCTTAAGGAAGAAAATATGAAGAACTCCATAATATGGCTCTTCTCTGGATAGGCTGTACTATGAGCAAAGCCAACAAAATTAAAAAAGTTTGTTAAAGTAATCTATTGATTAAAACGATAAAATTATGAGTTAGTCTACGAAAAGAACAGGGTCCCGTGGTTTCTGATTTAAATTTTCAACATTTTTGCTGCTGTGGAGTTTTTTTTATGCACTCTGTCTCCATTCCATGGTTTCAAGTGTATAGTATTGAATAACCAAATATGGTAACACTTCAGCTTTACAAGAATACCAAGAAATATTTGGTAATAATTGACTAATTAGGTATTCACTAATATTGCTAACAGCAAGCCCAGAAGAATTTTATGAGCCAAAGCGGTATTATGAAATTTCTCATCTTACTCGCATGTTAAGTTTAATTGTAGAGTACGAAATCTCTTTTAAGGAGGACATCATTTCTTATGCTGAGAATTAATGTTTTATAAGTAGTAATTTTAGACAAAATGTCAAAGTTTTTTTGCATTGTTTTCTATGGCTAAGCAAAGTATCTTCAAAGTACAAAACTTGCCAGGAAATAGATTGCACAATTTCCAACTACCACATTTGTAAAATAATCTTTCTTAAAAATTCTAATAGAAAAAGACTGAATCTCAATTGACCGGATTTGCAAGTGTAGTAAAGTAAGCAGCAGAGATTTTACTTTATTGCTGTGAGGAGATTTATACAAGCAATTTTAACATTTGGTGACTAATTATTAATCAGACTAGTAGTTGAAATTTAAAGGGATAGGGGATTTTTCCTAAAAGTAAGATGATCTACTAGAATTGGGTTGTCTGGCATCTGTGTGACCTCAACTCATTTTCCTGATTGGCTTCAAATATATATAAATGGGCATCAACGCCCTTTAGCGGAAGTTTCCTTCTATGGATTGAATGAGTTTAAAAGGTGAAGATGCTACAGATATGATTGACGAATGCTAGCTACAAGCACTTGAAGGGTTTCAGAGAGAGACAATTGCAAAGTTCTTCTTCTTAACAGTCACAGAAAATCCTTCTTTCTGTTTCCTGCCTCCATAGCAGCCTAGAGGGGTAAAGGGACAGTCGCCATTGTGCCACTGGACCAGAGGGCTACGCTCTCATTACAGAGAGCAAACTCCTAGCAGCTTTAACCTGAGCATCACTATGCCTCAGGCAAGGGGTAAGGCAGGACCCAACATGGTGAACTCAGCCAGTATGGGAATTGAACTCTCCTGAGGTTGTAGACTTACTCGCCAAGCTGGTGTGTTTGATCGCGGACATTTTGTCACCCTGCTTGGTAACATCGTCAGTGCGCCTCTGGTAAAGCATTGGTGTTCTGTCCTCATTGTTATTTATGCCTCGATTTGCAGGGGTGGTTGGCATCACTTTCGGTTCTGTTTTTCCATGGCTTGTACATCGGGTCCAGTTCAAAGTGTTTGTTGATGTTTTCTGGTTGGAATGCCAGGCCTCCAGGAATTCCCTGGCATGTCTCTGTTTGGCTTGTGCTATTATGGACGTGTTGTCCCAGTCAAACTTGTGTCCTTCTTTGTCTGTGTGTATTGAGACCAGTGAGAATTGGTGATGTCTCTCGGTTGTTAGTTGTTGTTCATGTATTCTTATTGTCAGTTTTCTTCCCATCAGGCTTTTGTAATGTTTCTCACAGTCCTTGCATTGTATTTTGTATATCGAAAGCGAATACAGAAAGACCACACATACGGACCAGATACTCAATTACACCAGCAATCACCCCAACACCCTTGAACAGAACTGCATCAGGACATTATTCAAACGAGCCACAACACATTGCAGCAATCCGCAATTGCGCAACGCAGAACAAGAGCATTTTTATGGAGTTTTTAAAAGGAATGGATACCCAAAAAGCACAATCCGCCATTACCTCCACAACAGACCACAACAAGACGACACAACATGGCCAGACACACTAGTCACCCTACCATACATCAGAGACAACCACAAGACTACTCAGGCCCATAGGTTTCAGAGTAGCCCATGAACCAGCAACCACCCTGCGAGAGCTACTGAGGAACATAAAGGATCCCATACCCACAACTAATAAAACTAACATAATATACAAAATACCATGCAAGGACTATGATAAACATTACATAGGCCAAACGAGAAGAAAACTGACAATAATGATACACGAACACCAACCGGCCACCGAGAGACACGACCAATTCTCACTGGTCTCAATATACACGGACAAAGAAGGACATGAATTCAACTGACATAACACATCCATAATAGCACAAGCCAAACAGAGAACATGCCAGGAAATTCCTGGAGGCCTGGCACTCCAACACCACACATCAACTGGACCTGATTTACAAACCACTGAAAAACAGAACCAGAAGTGATGCCAACCACCCCAGCAAACCGAGGCATATAAATAGCAAGCAGGACAGAACACCAACGCCCACCGATGAGGTTATCTAGAGGGTAAGGAAATGTCTGTAATCAAACACATCAGCTTGGCAAGCAAGTCTGCAAACTCATCCACAACCAGAGTTACAAATCTCAAAAACTTTAAATGAAACCCCCCTATTGGAATCATGCTGTATCACAAATCAGCCATCAGCCAATTGAGCTAAACTGCCTCCCCAGTTGAAGTCTACAATGTTGTGAAGGATGGATCTGGCCTCATTGCCATGGAACATTCCAAGTAGTTGGACCATTCCATATCACTTGTCCTTCATGGAGAAATTTGCAAAGGAAAACACCAGTGACCACAAGTCCATCAGGCTGTGGTCAGCAAGTAGTGTCCTTGAGACCCTGCAGTAAAAGGAGAGGGTTGATCCTGCTGGGAGGCTCCCTGACTAGACTGTCAAAGTCATTTGGTAGACTGTCTTATCAGCAGAACTTTACAACAAGCATCATGACATAGTTTGGCTGGTGGTGAGAAGGGCACTGCCCTTCAGATCCAACATGCATGCCTGGTCTCTATGTGCCACCACACACTGTCCTTGAAGTTATGCAGATGAAGAGAGTGTCACATATCTCCTTCTGGAATGTACCTTTGCAAAGATCAGGAGAGAGAGACAGTGGTTTTTGTCGAGGTTCATCCAGAGCAGCTCTGTGACACATAGATTCCAGGGAAACACATTGAGAATGCTCGTCAGTGGAAGATGCTCCTTGGTCTGCCTGAAATTTGTTGATCTTCCAGTGTAAAGAGTTGACCTTGACCGAGAGTTGCAGACTGGCACATTCCAAGGTAGGGGGCTACATACTGAGGGATGCACTAAAGCTTGGCGCAACTGCTGCCAAGGTGCAGTGGGTAAAGACTGCCACCTAAGGTCTTTCTGCCAAAGTATAAAGAGAGTCTGTTCAGTTGTCAGACCCTGTCATTGCTTCAAAATGAACATAGTTTCCTGCATGGGTAGAAGAAAATGCTTTTGTTTTTGCAACTACAGAGAAGCTCTGAGAAATATCAGAATTCCAAAGTTTTATTTGCTTTTTGTCTCTGCAACGACTGTACAGAACCGATTTAGAAGCTTTGGACATGCTTACAGATAATTTCTTTTATGAATAAAGGTTTTTTTTTTATTTCAAAATATACTATCTGGTAGACAAGGTACTTTCAGCGAAGAAATTTGGCACCCATACCTCGTGTGGCCTAAAAGTGACCACAGCAATGCTGCTGACTCTTAACTGCTCTCTGAAATGGCCTAGTACATCACTCAATTAAAAGACAATGAGAGATAGACAACAATCATTGGCCATATAATAATTTTTTACAAAGAAGAATAGATCGTTCATAACAAAAGACAATGGTTTGCATGTGATTATTTATCACTTACAGGAAATAAACAATTTCAAATGAAATTTATCACAGACCTAAATTGGAATTAATTTTGATATTCATGATACTGCTTTAAATACTTAGTAATATATCTTTTCAGCCACATTTTTTCCAGTTAAGCATCTCACTTTACAATTCTTTCCAGGAGAACTTATTCCTATGACATAATGACCCTCTCTGCACTGGTCCCAAGGCTTGAATGTCAACCACGGGGAGCTGCGCACAGTACTCAAAGTGCAACATTAGCAGAACACTGTATAGTTTTACATGCCTCTCTCTAACTTTTGCTATGCCAATTGCTGCTCTAGTTGTTTGAGACATTAAGAGTCAACTTTACTATTACCCCTTGCTCTCTATTTATTTCACCATTAACTAAGAAAATGTAATTTGACCATGTATAATATACATGTTTAAATCCATACTGAATTTTACCTGTTACTGATCTGTACTTTTAGATATTTATATTTATATAATTTAAATTTGTAGTTTTTTGGCTGCTCTCTCTCAGTGCTGCAAATACCAGGATGGATAAAAAGGAAAGTACAATCAACATTCGAACAGATGGATTAGTGAAATGGAACAACTGGTGCACCATTCCTATTGTTGCTTTGTGATATTGCTGGAAGCTATATGAAATACCTCTACAGAGGTTGGTATCCCATCACCAAATCACCCTTTATTTACACATGCACAGTACATGGACTCTTACCAGTGAGCTCAGAACCACTCCCTAGAGTGCTGAGAATCCCCAAGACTCCTGTTTATATCTGTCAGCCAAGACTCCCTGATTGGGGCTGTTAATCTGGGCCAATCAGGGAACTCAGACTTAATGAGATCCACCTGGCCAACCTCATTCCAATCACTACACTGTGTACACATTTTAGTACAGGAATGTGTTTGATATTATACATGTTAGCGCACAGTAAAAAAGACATGAGGGAACCAGGTTGGTTTCTCCAACCATTGTCAACAGTTTCATGGTCATTAGAGTCTTAATTCCTGATTTTCTGATTCAATTCAAATTTGAACCCAGGTCGCCAGTCTCTGGATTAATA